GAGATGGGGTTTCGCCATGTTGGCTAGGCTGGTCTCGAACTCCTGACCTCAGGTGATCCACTCACCTTGGCCTCCCAAAGTGCTGGGATTACAGGTATTAGCCACTGCACCTGGCCAAATTTGATCTTAATACTACGTTATATGCACTTTGTGCTTCGTCCAAATTTTACTCCTAGTTATTCATTGTGATTCGGAAGAATGTGCATGGTTTCTGCTTTTTCCTTTCTGTACTTTTATTCATATTATTTCTTCCAACTAGAATGCCCTTGTGCCTCTTCTTGTAAGTAGAAACCTCTCTCCCTTTTGAAATCAGTATCTCTCACTGCACTTATTAAAAACCTCTTTGTATTATCGTAGTTATTTATGTTCACACCTTATATCCCTTCAATAAACTGTACATTCCTTGAAGGTTGGCACAAGCCTTCTTCTTCATCACTGTCATCTGTATAGGAATTGCTACATTGTGATATACACAATAGGTGCACTATAAATAGCTAAAGAACGAACATTTCATTTTAACAAAATAGTAATTATGAAAAAATTGTTTATAGAAATATAAAATACTAAGTCCATACAGATTTTTTTATTTTTTGAGAATGAGTCTCACTCTGTTGCCCAGGCTAGGCTGTAGCTATCTTGGCTCACTGCAACCTCTGCCTTCTGGGTTCAAGTGATTCTCGTGCCTCAGCCTCCTGAGTAGCTGGGATTACAGGTGTACACACCACACCTGGTGAAGTTTTGTATTTTTAGTAGAGACAGGATTTCACCATGTTGGCCAGACTGGTCCCAAACTCCTGGTCTCAAGTGATTTACCCGCCCTGACCTCTCAAAGTGCTGGGATTACAGGTGTGAGTCACTGTGCCTGACCCATACACAGAATTTGACCAATTTTCTATTTACATGTGAGATTCACTCATTTAAAAAAAGCGCCTCAGATCTTTTAAATCACACAGTTAAAAATTTAAAAACCAAGCACACAATTGAGCTTGACAATAATGTGGTAAAAATCAAATCAAAGTCTCATATTTAGAACTAATAAGTATCTTTTCATTCTTATAAACATTTTTCAGTAAAGGTAACACCTAATATATTTTACTCTTTTCTAATTCCTTGTATTCAGTAATGTTTTAAAAATAACATGAATATGTATTTGGTTTTTTTGGGGGGAATGGAGTTTTGTTCTTTTGTGCAGGCTGGAGTGAAGTGGTATGATTTCAGCTCACTGAAACCTCTGCCCCCCAGGTTCAAGCGATTCTCCTGCCTTAGCTTCCCGAGTAGCTAGAAATTATAGGTGCCTGCCACCACACCCAGCTAATTTTTATATTTTTAGTAGAGACAGGGTTTTTCTATGTTGGCCACACTGGTCTCCAACTCCTGACCTCAGGTGATGCAACTGCCTTGGCCTCCCAAAGTGCTAGGATTATAGGCGTGAGCCACAGTGCTCGGCTTAACATGAATATGTTTTAAAAATACAATAAAAATTTCCTCTATGAGCTGTTGGTCCAACATTATCCACATAATTCATTTTCAACATATACACTAACTTATTCAACAAACATTTACCAAGTGCCTCCTATGTGCCAGGTACTATGTGCCAGGCAAACATCTGTCAACATGAGCAAAATAATTAAAAAAGAAAGATGGAGTCAAAATATATCAAAATAGTGTAAAAAATAGATGTTTACTGGATTTTGAGCTAAGTGTGTGTGGTATAACCAATGTTAATTATCAATGCCTTTAGAAATATTTATCGATAAGTTTTTCTGTACAGTAAATAAGTTATGTACTTTAATTCTAAAAACATTAAGAATTATGAAGGCTATATATTGACTTCAAGTATTATAGTGTTTTCATAAACTTACTTCTATTCAAATATGGTCGGAGGACCCTATTTTAGTTATTTTACAATGCAAATGCATGAAAGTTTCATCTTAATGCTTGGCACTACTGACAGTTTAGTTGGAGATGACAGGCTATCCCTCCAACTTTGGTCTAAGGATACAATAAACAGAACTCTATCATGTTCAGTAGCAATCATTTAGAGTTCCAGAGTAGGCACTTCAACATCAGGTTTAAAAGTTACTGCAATATTTCAATGAAAAGAATTAAAAAAAAAAATCAATGATTACCTGAGAGTTCCTGAATGCTTCTTGAAAATACAAAACTGTTTACTTGGATGGTTGCTATGAGAGCTGGAGAAACACGAGACAAACAAAATTTTATTGATTTTATTATACAATGCCATATTAATTTTATGACATTTCAAGCCAATGCTTAATGTCTTAGTTTTGAATAAAAGATCATGATCTAAATAATAAGATTCTGTTGGTTATTTCTATAATCTGAATTTTTGTGTCCCCCAGAATTCATGTTAAAATCTTAACCCCCAAAGTGATGGTATTAGGAGGTGGGGCCTTTGGGAGGTGATTAGGTCATGAGGGCAGAGCCCTTATGAGATTAGTGCACTTATAAGAGAGATCCTAGAGAGCCAGTGTGCCCCTTCCACCATGTGAGGACGCAGTGAGAAGGTGCTGTCTATGAGGAATGGGCCCTCACCCAGACACCGAATCTGCCAGCACCTTGATCGTGGACTTTCCAGCCTCCAGAACTGTGAGAAATAAATTTCTGTTGTTTATAAGCTACCCAGTCTATGGTATTTTGTTACAGCAGCCTGAATGGACGAAGACAGTCATCTCTGTTTAATTCAAGTATTTTACCTTACATTCCACTTTAGGAGAAATGACATATTTCCCTGAGAATTCTCTTAGATTATCAGTACTTCACCATTACTGAAAAAACACTTGAGTTAAAAATGCAAAGAGTGTCAAAGTTTTTTAACTATTAAGAACAATTGAAAAGGTATTTAATAATGTATTTTGCTATGATAGAAATTGTTATAATGATACTAATTATTATTTTTTGTTTCAGAGTCTTGCTCTGTCGCCCAGGCTGGAGAATAATTATTATTTATTACATTTTAATCTTAATATGTTTGGGGATAATCTGAATGATCCTGGAAGTAAACACTACTTGAGCTAAATGCCATTGCTTAATTCAATAAAAACGAAGCATTTAAAGGGTCCTTTGCAATTACCAGGAGAACTTTCAAAGAGAGCAAATTAAAAGCAGAGCTTATGAGTTAAAACAATGCTTCTCCTACACACAGATCAGAAAACCGCTAACCAAACTTCATAGCCAATGGTAATAGCTTTTATGCTTCCCTTTACATTGATAAGGAAAGCTTTCCTGTGTTAGAAAACCAGGCAAGATTAGCCAGGATTAGCCTAGCAGAGTATTACTCAAACTGTGGTCCATGGACCAGCATCATCAGCATTACCTAGGAGCTTGTTAGAAATACAGTTTCAGGCCTCACTACAAACATAGTGAACTAATCTCTGACAGTGGGCCCAGAAATCTGTTTTCCCAAGTTTTCCAGCTGATTCTTATGCAAGCTATTTTGAGAAGCACTAGCCCTTTCTTGTACTGACAGACCCAACACAGCAGGTCAACAGTTACCCTAACACAAGGTAACCATCACCAGCATACTATATATGCATGGGAAAATAAAGATTGTGGCCAGCTATAATTCCAAGAATATATTCTCAGAATAGGAACCATGGTGAATACAAAGAGCTTCTCTCTAAAAGAGGTAACAGAGACACATATGAGGCAGAAGAGGAGAATGTTACAGAACCTAAAGAAAGGAATGATTCCTCTGACTGGCTGTGCTGATCAGATACTTCACAGAGGGTGAAATGGGAGGGAAGGAGAGGGGCATTCTGGAGAATAATCAAGAATAAGAAAAAGCTACTTTAGGTACTGAATATGAAGAACCTATACATTGGGGAACATTGATCAATTCTGGGAGCCTGTCTTCTCACAATAGAGTTGGTATAGGCTGGGAATAAAGGTACTCAACCTCTGAGAAAATGAAGCCTCTGAACATACAGAGCTCAAACCTATGACAAAAGTTCATACCAGGTAGTACTGAGGGTACAACACTATTCAGAGGGAGGTACCTGAAGCAACAAGGGAAACAATGTGCTGTTGAAATAGGGCAAAAGCAAAAGGACCTACGAGGCCATTAGAAGAGCAGAAGCGGAAGCTTTCAGTTCTATATGAGGTTAATGATGAATAAGAGCTCAATATGTGTGATGACAGTTCAGGGCTGGGGATCACCAGAAATTAGGAAAAGGTTAAGAAGGTAACTTTAGGCCAATTGGGAATGTTTGGGTATAGAATGGGGCTGAAGGTTCTACCAGACAGTTGATAAGCCTACAGAAAATGGGAGAGGTGAGGATGGAAGAACACATGGTTTAGGAAATGTCAAAAATATTTTCCAATTTAATCCTCTATAAATTAGGGGCAGAATTAAAGCCTCATTAGAACAGTCTAGTGTTTGGCAGAGAATAAGAGAACATTACTCACAGCAGTGTATTGGGGGAAGGGAACCTTTCTCTAAAGGTTCTGCTTTAGAGAAACTGGGGTATAGGTGCAGAACCACTGTAGTAGTGGAAGAGGCAGATTGGTAAATTGCAGAAGGTGGACTCTCAGGAAGCTAGGATGTATGGTGGCAGATCAAGAGAACTCCAGGGGCTTCAGAAACTTGGGAGAGTAAATCATTCCCAGCTGGTGCTTCATGTTTATGCAAATGATGCCCTGAAACAGACTGAGCTTAAAGGGTACTGAAGTAAAAGTGGTTTGAATCCTAGTTAGAAACAAAGAGTTGGGTCTCAGGGAAGCTCAGCATTGAAATCAGAGGATTTACAGTTGAAAGGTAAAAGATAAAACTTTAAGAATGGTTAGGGTACCAAGAAAGGGATTATAAAGGGGCAAGAACAGTTGAAGGGAGAAAAGATAATTATATAGAGGAGGAGTAGCCAAAAGGAAAGAAGAAAAATGGTGGTAACAGTTCAACAGAAGTTGAGAAGAGTTCTACACGTAAGTGATCAAAAATGTCAAATACTCTGAAGAAGTAATAGAGGAGTAAGAATGAAAATAATGAGTAGATTCAGTGGTTAGGATATGACTGATAACCTTTAAAGAGCAGCTTTAGCTGTGTGTAGGTGGGAGGGGGTGACACTCAAATCACAAAGGGTCAAAAATGACAAACAGGCTAGTAAAGTATAATCTTTACAAATGTTGATAGTAAAAGGAAGACAAGAAAACATGCAAAGTAAAGGCAGATCTCCCTCATCCTAAAAGCATGCCTGAAAATATCAGCAGACACAATGAATGTGGTAGAGAGGAAGATGAACTGAAGGTCCAAAATAATGAAATAAGGATCTTGAGGAAATGCAAGAGATGAGGAACAGGGTTAACTTAAAAAAAGTGGGACATGTCTGTTTTCCGAGATTAATATCTGGATGAAGGAAAAAAAAACCTTGAGGCAAGAAAAAGTTAATCTTGAGAAAAACAAAAAGGATGACCTCTGAGTAATTATTAGGCAAAGTTAACAACTGAGGGACTAGAATAAAAAATCTGACAGATGCGGTGGATAAAAACAAAGCGGTATTTTTAAAAGGGCAGGACCAAATTAAAGACCATGAATTCAGAGCTGATTGAATCAAGCAAGATGTGGTGGTCTAGAACTGGGCACAGGGATACATCAAAAAGGATAAAAGATGCCCCACTAATAGCGAACGTGAGCTGGGATTTTTTTTAAAAAAAGGATAAAAGATACAAAGATAGCAAGGCTAAGTAAGCTAAGCATGCCTGAAGATATAAAGGATTTTAGGACAGAAACAAAGCAGCATTCAAAACAGAAGACCTTGAGGGTGTGATTGCCTACAAAATTCAATTGGTACTACTGGACTAGAAAAAAAGGTTCAAGACCCTGAAAGACATGGGGTAATGAGAATTCAAAATAAGTATTGACTACAATGAGGTAAAATGGGATGGTGTTAAGAAAGGGGATACAACAAAGCAGGGGGTGATGTGAAGTGCTAGCACTAAAGAAATAAAGGTATCATAAGGTCAGGCTGATCACCAAAGGGAAAAAAAAACCCCTGCAAGCCAGGCTGAAGCCATCAAAAAATGTGGTGGATGAATCCTTCAAAGTGGTAGCTGATTATGAGCAGAAAATAATATAGATGTCTTGTTATAATCTGCAAGAAAACCACTTTTATTGGTTATACCTATTTCTTTTTTAAAAATAGAGACAAGGTCTTGCCATGTTGCCCAGGCTGGTCTCAAACTCCTAGGCTCAAGCAATCCTCTCTCCTTGGCCTCTTAAAATGTTGGGATTACAGGCGTAAGCCATTGTGCCTGGCTAGTTATATCTTATTTATAACTGAAAATAAATGGAACTATCTGAATTAAAATAATCAACTTATATTTATATCTGAACACTTTTTGGTTATTTAAAATAAAATCCATTCTGAAGGAATAAAGCAAGCCCCTAGGAACAAGGTTCAAATCAAATAATGGGGGCTCTAAAGTCTTTCCCTTGTATAGAGTACATCATAGGTGCTCAAATAATATAAGTTGAATCAATGCATGAAAAGGAATTTCAACAGTAGCACCATGATGGGAATATTCCTACAGTCTCATTTCATTGAATGAATGCAAAGATGAATGATCAGAAAGACAAATGGATAGACAGATGGGGAAGACAGAGACAGAATAATGTTCTTAGCATCATTAAAAAGCCAGGAGTCTCTCAAAATGATCGCTTTGAAGAGGATAACACTCATGAAATTACATATACAGGGGTCCTTGTATCCATGGGGGATTGGTTCCAGGACCTCCTGCAGATACCCAAATCTGCAGACTCAAGTCTCTGATATAAAATTGCATAGTATTTGCATATAAACTACATACATATTTTATATATATCCCTCTATATACTTTAAATAATCTCTAGATTATTTGTAAGCCTATGATACTTAATAAAATGTAACTGCTATTACATAGTTTTATACTGTATTATTTAGAGAATAATGACAGCAGAAAAGGTTTGTACATGTTCAGTATAGACTTAATTTTTTAAAATACTTTTGATCCACGGTTGTAAATTCTGTAAATCCAGAATTTACAGATGTGGAATGCAAGAGCTGACTATTTATTTGACAAATATACTGAAAACACTTAACAAAAAATAACCACTTTTTGAAAGACATAGAAAAGAAAAAAAGTCCCATAGAAACAACAAATTTCCCTAACAAACTCATTTTAATTTCACCAGTCTAATTGTTCTCAGAGTTTTTGTCCCAGTAATTTTATGAGTTACTATGCTGGAAAATAGTACAAGGAACATCTTAGAAGTTCTCTATTGCTGGACCCTTTTAGTTCCTTGATGAGACAAACTTGCTTCCAATAGGACAACTCTGTTTTCAAAAAACAAATGACCTGAATGGCAATTCTGATTGGCAGTTTACATGTTTAACTTACCTCATCATATGATTTACAAAGGCTTTGTTACAGTTAGTATTATACTTGCAAAAACTGCAGTGGATGTATATAGAAAAGTGGCTTGCAAAATCTTTTATTTTGGAATGACACTCAATGCACTTGTGAATCCCCCGACGACACCTTATGGAGATGGAAAAAAAAAGATAAAAATAGATTATAAAACAAAAATAATAGGAGAAAATCTTAACATTTTATTAACTAAAGCCAAAATGTTTAAATTGATATCTTTAAATAGAAACTCATAATTTCAAAATACGCTTTGAAACAAGCTAGAATAAGTGTAAAAAATTTAACACCAGTTAACATTTCCCTGGAATAAAAAGGATCAAACAAACCAATTAATCTATCATAAGATAAAAGCATAAAATATTAGTATAAAAGATGAAAATTATAGAATAAACACAATGACTCAAGTTCTGCTCAGCAGCTGTAAAAAGTACCTTTTTCTTATTTGCTTGGTCTTTATGCCAGATAAGTGATTACCATGTAAATGTGTAAGAGGGTTCTATGATATGATAAATTATAAAAAATAAACTTTTAATACTTAAGATTAAATTTGTATTGTATATCAGGAATAAAAGATATTACCTTAAGTTCTTCAAAGCTAAGGTCATTTTATTTTTTCTGTTGCGCTGTCGCTTTTGCTTGTAAGAGGGTTTTGCTTTGCATTTAGCTGTACGTCCCCTTGGCTTACTTGTATTAGCTTTACTTGCAGTGGATGTAGTTGCATGAGGCCTACTTGTCTTAGATTTACTGGCATTAGATTTTCTAGGATTTTCAGCAGTTGAGTTTTGAGATGTCGGAGGTGTGACCTGAAGAAAAGAAGTGCCTGGAGTATAACCAGAAGGTGCAGTTGGTAATTTTGACTGGTGAGGTCCAAGTGAAGCTCGAATAGTAACCTATAAAAACAAAGGCAGTATATACTTTTAGAAAATAAACCACATTAGTATCAAAAATATCACTGTAAGCCCTCACATTTACAGTAAACTGGTTTTTGACAAGGGTGCCAAAACATTTCCAATGGGGCAAAGAATAGTCTTGATGAATGCTGCTACAAAAACTGATATCCAAGTGCAAAAGAATGAATTTCAATCCTTACCTATTATATACAAAAATTATCTCAAAATGTATCAAAGACTAAATTTTAACGTGTAAAACTATAAAACTCTTAGAAGAAAATATAGTAGTAAATCCTTGTGAGCATGAGTTAGGCAATGGTTTCTTATATATGACACCAAAAGCACAAGCAACCAAAGAGAAAATCGATGAATAGGCATTTCTTCAAAGAAGATATACAAACAGCCAATAAGCACATGAAAAGATGGTCCACATCAACAGTCATCAGGGAAATGCAAATCAAATCCCAAGTGAGATGTCCCTTCACACCAACCAGCATGGCTATGATAAACAGACAATAACAAGTATTGGCTAGGATGTAGAGAAATGAGAACCCTCATACACTGCTGGTCAAAATGCACAACAGTGTAGTTAGATTGAAAAAGAGTTCAGCAGGCCAGGTGCCATGACTCACGTCTGTAATCCTTGAACTTTGGGAAGCTGAGGTGGGTGGATTACTTGAGGTTGGGAGTTTGAGACCGGCCTGGCCAACATGGTGAAACCTCATTTTAACTAAAAATACAACAAATTAGACAGGCATGGTGGCAGGCGCCTGTAATCCTAGCTATTCGGGAGGCTGAGACAGGAGAATCGCTTGAATCCAGGAAGTGGAGGTTGCAGTAAGCCAAGATCATGCCACTGCACTCCAGCCTGGGCAACAGAGTGAGACTCCATCTCAACAAAACAACAAACAAAAGAAAAACAGGAATTTTCTCAAAATATTAAAGGTAAGAGTTACCATTTGACTCAGGAATCCTACTCAGAGGCATATACTCAAGAGAAATGAAAACATGTATACACAAAAACCTCTACATGAATTTTTATAGCAGCATTATAGCCATAAAGAGGAAACAACCCACATGCCCATCAATAGATGAAAGAATAAATAAAATGTAGATTTTCTATGCAATGGAGTATTACTTAGCCACAAAAAAGAATGAAGTACTCATGATACAATATCAATGAACCTACAAAACATTATGCTAGGCGAAATAAACCAGTCCCTAAAGATGACATGTTGTATGATTCCATTTACATAAAATGTCCAGAACAGGAAAATCCATAGAGACTAAAAGCAGATTCAAGTTTGCACAGGGCTAGTGGAGGGGAAACAGAGTGAATGCTAATGCATATGAGTTTCTTTTGAGAATGATAAAAATGTTCTAAAATTTACTGTAGTGATGTTTCCCCAAATATGAATATGCAAAAAGCCATTGAACTGTGAATACTGTAAATGGGTGAATTGTATGATATATGAATTATATCTCAATAAAATGTTATCAAAAAATCACTGCAATACAAAAAGTTAAACATCATTATTTTGAAAATGGCAAGTATAAACTACAAACAGATAAGCCTCCCACTTATTCTAAATGGTCATACCAAGTAAATGAAATTTACCTTGGTATTGACTTACTACTGTAATATCAGTTTTATCTTGATAGCAGTTTTATGTCAACACAGATATTAATGAATATTAGGAGTTAGTACAAATTAGATGAATATCAAAAGAACACATCCCATAGCTATTTTATGCTTCAACGTGGTAGCTCACGCCTATAATTCCAGCACTTTGGGAGGCCTACGTGGGTGGACTGCCTGAGTTCAGGAGTTCGAGACCAGCCTGGGCAACACAGCAAAACCTTATCTCTACCAAAAGCAAAAACATTAGCTGGGCACGGTGATGTGCAACTATGGTCCCAAATACTCAGGAGGCTGAGGTGGGAAGATCGCTTGAACCTGGGAGGTGGATGCTGCAGTGGGCTGAGATGGCACCACTGCACTTCAACCTGGGTGACAGAGTAAGACCCCGTCTCCAAAAAAAAAAAAAAAAAACCCACAAAAAACTAAAAAGCTTTCACAAATATAGAGGTCAAAATTTAATACAGAGGTCAGAAATAATAACCCTGGAAAGGCCTGCATTACCCTCTGGTAACTATAAAACAGTTTCAGTAAATGCGACTTCTTCCTGGGGGTCGGGGGCATGATTTCTGCTTCCAAGGTTATGGTGGAGCTTACATCAATTCATCACACAGCATGCTGATTACAATAATGCTCAGAATTTCCTTAATAATAACTAATACAAACTTTATCATTTACAATTTAGAAAAAGAAAATGTATCTATTGGTTAATAACAGAAAACATAGTCACCCACTAACATTCTCTTTAATTATTTGACTACACTTCCCCCATATACTTGAAGAACAGCTTCTGTGAAGTCCTATGAAATACATGTGGTATCACACAAAAGCACTGGAGCAGAACTTGTTAGCTTGCAAATAGAAAATAAATAAATTTTTTGAAAGCACTGGAGTAGAAGTCAAAAGACCCAAGTTTAAGAATCTTAGTACTACCTCTTCCTAGCTACATGACCTTGAGTAAGGAATTTAGCCTCTCTGAGCCTCTTCATCTCTAATATGGGAATAATACCTGCCTTGTCTATCTCATTGGATCATCACATAGATTAAATAATAAAATGTACGGAAAGGCACACTGAATACTTAATTCTAAAGTGCTATAAGACACACAGTATCATTATTATCAATATTATTATTACTATTGGTATTTTATTAATAACAGAAGATGTGAGAGGGCTGTACTGCCTAAATTAATATTATGAATGTCTAATATCAATATGGAACAAATGGATTGCAGGGAAGGATGCCAGATGGTTTATCTTACTCTAGATGTTCAGATAATTATTTTATATTATTTTTGTTAATTTAAATAACAGACATATTCGCATTCAAAAGTATGTACTTGGCCGGGCACGGTGGCTCACGCCTGTAATCCCAGCACTTTGGGAGGCCGAGGCGAGTGGATCGCGAGGTCAAGAGATCGAGACCATCCTGGTCAGCATGGTGAAACCCCGTCTCTACTAAAAATACAAAAAATTAGCTGGGCATGGTGGCGCGTGCTTGTGGTCCCAGCTACTCAGGAAGCTGAGGCAGGGGAATTGCCTGAACCCAGGAGGCGGAGGTTGCGGTAAGCTGAGATCGCGCCATTGCACTCCAGCCTGGGTAACAAGAGTGAAACTCCGTCTCAAAACAAAAACAAAAACAAAAACAAAAACAAAAACATGTACTTAAGTGACATACAAAGGTTTGAGGATTATTTCACCTTGGATTATCTATCTCTTCACTGGAGAAAATATTCAAGAGCTAACTTTGTATAAAGAAGTCAGAGGGCCAGGTATGGCGGCTCATGCCTGTAATCCCACACTTTGGGAGGCCGAGGCAGGCAAATCACTTGAGGCCAGAAGGTTGACACCAGCCTGGCCATGTTGCTGAAACCTGGTCTCTATTAAATATACAATTAGCTGGGCATCATGTTGCACACCTGTAATCCCAACTACTCAGGAGACTGAGGCACGAGAATCATTTGAACCTGGGAGGCAGAGGTTGCAGTGAGCTGAGATCACACCACTGCACTCCAGCCTGCGGGACAGGGCGAGACTCTGTTTCCAAAAAAAAAAGAGTCAGAGTATATAAGTATATAAGGCAAACAAGGAGAAGAAAATCTGTGGTCCAATGTGTGCTTGCTAATGAAAAATACCAATGCTATCCAGGAGCAAAACTTGCTTCTCTAAGAGATTAGTAATACCAACTTCAACAAGCCTATAGCATTCAAGGCACCATGACAGATGCTGGGGACACAAAGATAAATTAAATTCCTTATCTTAAACATCTTATAGTCTAGCAACTGAAACAGACATACACACTGACAACTGGAATAGCTTGAAAACAGCCTACAGAATATTGAAACAACCTGCCAACTTAGTCTACAATCTAGCTGCACTAGAAATACCCCTCCAACAAACCATGTCAATCAACTAAAAAAACAATGATTCGAAGTTTTTCTTTACAAGAATTAAGAATGACAAAACCTAAATTAAAGTCTTAATAACAATCAGAGTCAATTTTAATATTATATTCAATAGATAAAACCAGGCAGTAGTTTCTATTATCATACAAAATGTTAAAAATATAGCATATTTAAAACTCACTTTTGGGGTGTACATGATATTTTAATACAAGCATATAATATGTAATGATCAAATCAGGGTAATTGGGGTATGCAGCACCTCAAGCATGTATCATTTATTTGTGTTAGGAACATTCCAATCCCACTTTTTTAGTTATTTTGAAATATACAATAAATTATTGTTAACTATAGTTGCCCTAGTGAGCTACCTAACACTAGACCTTATTCCTTCTATCCATAATAATTAAAAATACACTGTTGGTGGGAGTGTAAATTAGTTCAACCATTGTGGAAGACAGTGTGGCGATTCCTCAAGGACCTAGAAACAGAAATTCCATTTGACCCAGCAATCCCATTACTGGGTATATAACCAAAGGATTATAAATCATTCTATTATAAAGGCACATGCACGTGTATATTCACTGCAACACTGTCTACAATAGCAAAGACCTGGAACCCAACCCAAATGCCCATTGAGGATAGACTGGACAAGGAAAATGTGGCACATATACACCATGGAATACTATGCAGCCATAAAAAATGATGAGTTCGTGTCCTTTGTAGGGACATGGATTAATCTGGAAACCATCATTCTCAGCAAACTGACACAAGAACAGAAAATCAAACACCGCATGTTCTCACTCATAGGCGGGTGTTGAACAATGAGAACACATGGACACAGGGAGGGGAGCACCACACACCGGGGTCTGTTGGGGGGGAATAGATGAGGGACAGCGGAGGGTATGGAGGTTGGGGAGGGATAACATGGGGAGAAACGCCAGATACACACGACGAGGGGACGGAGGCAGCAAACCACATAGTTATGTATGTACCTATGCAACAATCCTGCATGATCTGCACATGTACCCCAGAACCTAAAGTACAATAAAATATATATAAATAAATAAAACAAAAATAAAAAACTGATAGAATGTGCAAAAAACCACCGAACCCCCCGTGAACTCACTTTTGTTCCAGGAGGCAATCCTTCTAGTTCCTTAGGCTTTATAAATGTACGATGCTGTGCCTTATGTTCAGCTTTTTCCTTGCTGGTCAAAAATTGTAGTCTGCATTTTGGGCAACGGTGAACTCCTTTTTTCTGTTTACAGAAAATATTAGATAATAATAACTTTTACCACCACAAATCCTAGGACCTGAAATTGCTCTTAATTCTAAAATCTACATAAATTTACAACCAGAATTTTACCATCTCCCATCACAGAAAATCCAAAATTATTATTTTACTTAAAAGTACTCCTTGCATTAGCTGAGTTTCAAAAGCATTAGTTACCATATAAGCATAAAACATAAAAAGTATATAATTAGGTTTTAATTAGAAAATTTCTATACTGATAGTAGAGGCATAAATAAGAACGGATCCCAATCTGTTGTTTGAGAAACCCCTAAGTCCCCCCTCAAACCTAGTCCCATTATTTTACCAATGGGAAATAGGACCCAAGAGAATTTTAAGTCACTTGCCCATAGCTGGTTACTGTTCTTTCTACTATACATTATCAATTGCAATCTTTATGCATATGCTCTTGTTGATTAAAATATATTTTATATTTATTATAAATTTAGAACATACAAATACAAAAGAATGCTTTCTTTAAAGATATATCTCCACGAGTTCATCATTTTCATATAAAATACAAACAGTCATTTAGGAAAACCAAATGAGGTAACGTGTATGAAAGTACCTAGTACAGTTACTGATGCACAGAAGACATTTGCTGAATAAAATTTCTTTACAAAGTTCAAAGCAATATATAAAGATAAGGCATTTGCATTACTATTTCAGTATCATCTTCAGACTATTATAGAAATGTGGTGCACTGGATCATACCATAGGTACAATAAACATAAACAGATTTACTTGTAGGTGCTCAAGAGAGAGGGGGAAAGAAAACCCAGTTAAGTAACAGACAGCAAATTAAGATGATAGAATATTCATTCCCCCAGAGTATAGTTCCCACAAATTTTTTCTCTACCTCTACCTACACCTTGTCCAGTTTCATGTCTTTAAATAGCATCCACCCACTGCATACTTGACACCTCTTGATGTCTAATAGGTATTTCAAATCAACATGGACAAAAAAATTGAACTTTAGATTCCCCCTCATTCATTCTGAGTGGGAAGTGTGCAAAATCTGTTCCTTCCCTACTCCTCCCAGTATCTCAGTATATGGGAAGTAAGTTCTTACAGCTGCTCAGGACAAAAAATGCTTGGTCACTCTTAACTCTTCTCTTTCTCTTACATCCCACATTCAACAAATTAGTAAAACCTGTCAGTGATACCTTAAAAAAATTTATAATGTTTCTATTTCTCATCACCTCCAATCACTGATACCATACTTGTCTGAGCCACTTACGAGGACCCTTGCAATAGCCTTCTATCTTCTCCCTATTTCCACCCTTTCTCCCTCTACAGTCTATTCTTCCCATAGCTGTCACAGTGATCTTTTAAACCCTCCACTGGCTTTCCATAACACTCCAGAATCCTGACACTGGCTTTCAAGTCCTCATATGATCTGGCTTGCATTCTATTGCTACAACCTCATCTCCTACTACTTTTCCTCTCACTTGTTTACTGTACTCCAGCCACACTGGCCTCCTTGTTTTGCCTTGAATATCCTAGGTATATGTTCATATCATTACCTACTTACTGTTCCCTCTACCCGGAACATTCTCTCCCAGATAGCCACATGACTTACTCTCTCATTTCCTTTGGAGAAGCCCTCTTTGACACCATTTAAAAAAACAACCAGAAACCCCTCCTTCATCTGAGCCCTGGCACTCCCTATCTACCTATATTTTCTTCCAATGGTACTTACCATCAGATGGCATACAAGTATATTCTGACATCACACACACACACACACACACACACACACACACACACACTCCTTCTCTACCATGATGCACATTTTAGAGAGTACAAACCTTGCTCTGCTTAATCCTGTAGGCACTCAGGATTAAGCACTCAAGTATTCGTTAAGAAATAAAATGAGGCAAACAGCAAGAGACTGACAGAGTACAAATGAGCAGCAGGCACAATTTAACTAGTTTAAAGTGTTTGCCATTTCATTCAATGAGCATTTATTTGTTCAGAGCCCCAAGACGGGAGACAATAATCTATTAGTCCTAAGTTGGACTCAAGTCCTGCATATCTCTCTTACGCATGTATGCTTGCATTGTGCTAATAATCACAATGATGATGCTTTTTTTTCCCTTTGAGAAAGAGTTTTGCTTTTGTTGCCCAGGCTGGAGTGCAATGGTGTGACCCTGGCTCACTGCAACCTCCACCTCCCAGGTCCAAGCAGTTCTCCTGCCTCAGTCTCCCAAGTAGCTGGGACTACAGGTGCCCACCACACCTGGCTAATTTTGTATTTTTAGTAGAGACAGGGTTTCACCATTTGGCCAGACTGGTCTCAAACTCCTGACCTCAAGTGATCCACTCGCCTTGGCCTCCCAAAGTGCTGGAATTACAGGTGTGAGTCATAGTGATAGTGCTCAGCGGATACATTTTTAAAATAAAGTAACGTTTAACCAAATAAACAGTAACTTGTTCCAAGGGTAGAGAAAAGTTGTGGGTTGAACTTCTTGATATGCATACTATATGGTTTTGGGTGATTTGAGGGATTTTTTTTTTTTTTTTTGAGACACACTTGAGTCTTACTCTGTCACCTAGGCTGGAGTGCAGTGGCATGATCTCAGCTCACTGCAACCTCCGCCTCCCGGGTACAAGCGATCTTCCTGCCTCAGCCTCCTGAGTAGCTGGGATTATAGGCATGCACCACCACATCCAGCTAATTTTTGTATTTTTAGTACAAACAAGGTTTCATCATTCTGGCCAGGCTGATGTCGAACTCCTGACCTATGGTGATCCGCCTGCTTCGGCCTCCCAAAGTGCTGGGATTACAGGCATGAGCCACTGCGCCTGGCCAATTTGAGGGATTTTCAAGGGTAACTAGCTGTAATTTCTGCTTTTAGACTTAATGTTAGTGTGGAATATGAGTCTGCAGTGAAAGCTTGGGCTATAAACCAATTTTTGGTTCCATCATTTATTAGGGAATGTGACATTGAGCAAATTACTTACTTTCTATAAAGCTTTGTTTCCTCATCTATAAAACGGAAACAATCATATACCTGCCTCATAGGGTGGCTATAAAGATAAAACAAGATAATGCATGTAAAAGCACCAGTGGCTGTCAAATGGTAAGTGATTAGTGTATGTTAACTGCTTATTGCTATTATTAAAGAGCTAATGAAGATACTTAACACATCTGGAGTCTTTCATCCTTTGTTAAAAACTGTATAAACTGCGTTGCTAACTCCAAAATCACTCAAGACATAGTAATATATTATTCTTAGGAAAAAGTTGCAATCAAAGTGTTCAAAAATAAACCATAGAGTCAATAATTCTTATTATATAAAATTGCACTAATAATGCCATCTCAGCTATAAGTTTATAATATTGCTCAGCTCAGGTTTTGAGTCTTTTGGCCATCTATGAACAAGGAAGCAGGTCCTCACCAGACACTAAACTGCTGGTGCCCTGATCTTGGACTTTACAGCTTGCAGAACAGGGAGAAGTAAATGCTTGCTGCTTAAGGTTCCCAGTCTATAATAGTAATGTTATAGCAGCTCAAACGGACTAAGCACCTGTGGCACCTCGGTGGTTCCAAAGACTACTCCCAGATTTGATGATTCAGTAGAAGGATCGATAGGACTTAGACACTGTTATACTCACAGCTATGTTTTATTACAGTGTAAGGGTACAGAGTAGGATTAATAAAGGAAATAGTATATTGGATAGCTTCTAGAGGATTACCAGGCACCAACTTCTAAGAGCTCTATTCCAATGGAGTCACATAGAACACACTTAATCCCTCACAATGTACTGCAGCAACATATATAAAGTGTTGCTTGACAGGAAAGCTCTCGAGTCTAAGAGCTTAGGGTTTTTTATGGGATAAGTCACCAAATCTTCAGGTGACTCCCCCCCCCACCGCAAGAAAAACAAGTGGTCACCAAAAAAATCGTATTGTTTGTGCAAATTTTCTTGACGAACTGGTACAACATGGCGCAAGGTTCCAGGCATGTAAACCACTCTTATCAGTTAATAACACAGAGAACATTCTAGGAGCTTAATATCCAAGATTTAGCCAAGGGCCAGTTATACTAGCAGGCACTTCTGAAATTGTGCAATATTTGAGCAACCCAGACCTGTTGGGTAACTCTTTCCAGTACATATGGCAACTAAGGCATACAACTTAGGGTATGAAGAATGACCACAGATCAGATAAACCACTTATGAGAAACAACTCACATAGTGGATTCACCTATGTCTTTCTTACCTTTCTAAGCATGTTATCACTCCCTCCAAATCTACATCTCTATCACTATGGAGCTTAGTATAAAGCAAGGGGAAATAATTATGTTAAAAGACCCAAAATTAGATAATCAGAGATAATGCTTTATGTTCCCTTTTTCTTTTCAAAATCAAAGGCCAAAAAATGAAATACAAGCACCAAGAACAGTGTTTCCCAAATTCTATACCTCAAGAAATGTTAGTAGGTATTATGCAAATAAAGGGCTCAAAGGTTAAAAATGTTTGAGGACCATCCCTGTACTGTGTCCCTTGCTTGGAGATTTACAACATCTATTAGCATATTAAAAGCTCTGATGAAGATCCTTTAAAACAAAAAAAATTAATAAGTTTGGCTGTATCAGCCTAGTGAGGAAGTTTATTTAGCTGATTGGCTTGCTTTTCAGGTGATATGCTGAGTAGTTAAGTGGGAGGAGGCTTTGAAATATAAATGGGCTGGTTTAGCTTGTAACTTCACCACTTACTACTGCTTGACATTGGGCATGTCACAGCCTCTCTAGGTCTGGGTTTTTGCATCTGTAAGATGCCAGTAATATCCTATGTTTACTTCATAGTTTTATTGTAAGGAAGGATTAGGCGATGTTACATATATTAAAGACTCAATAAATGTTAGTTATTAATTCTTAAAATAAAATAAAAATAAAAGCTCTGAAAAGTCCTGTTGTTAAAAATAAACAAAAAACACCCCTATGAACTTCGTAAATCCAGCCTTTCACAAAATTTCTTCTACCAGGAACAAGTTAAGAGGGGAACACTTATTAACATCAGAGGGAACAGTGTTGGGAAAACCCTAGAAAGATACTGCCAAAGGTTTTCAAGGGTGAGGTGGCCTACCAGGATAAAAAAAAGAAAAAAGAGACACTAGTACCATCCAAGTTATAACACAGGTAATCTGAATGTATTTGGAAATTCTATTTTTACGATTTTTTCCCCAATTAACAACAAGTTGATTTCATGATCATCCAATGACTAGAACCAAGGGCCACGTTAGTGTCAGTACTGAATGAACTTGCTGAGACAATCCAATCAATACTACAAAATGTAATGAGGTGATCAGGAGGCAAAGCTTGATTACATGACCAGATTTAGTAAATCCATTGACTTCTGATTTTGGCAAAGGTATTATGGCTGTTTCAAACACTCAAGAATAGGCCCACCGTTTCATCAAAGTTTTCAGCCCACAGGACGCTCTAATTGTTTGAGGAAAAGAAGCAGTAAGCATAAAATCAGAATTCAAGGGAAAGATGAAAGCATCAATACTGGTATCCCAGAAATTATATAGGAGAACTGGCAAAAGTCACAAAGGAAATAAGTTACAAACTAAATATAGTCCTCTGGTATAGTTCATATATCTGGTTGTAAGTGTTCTTGCTGTTTCCTTTTACTGGCTGCTACAAAAGCTAATTCTGGGTCATAGATGACAACCACGTCTCATAATAAAAAATGGGCTAGAAAGTGGAACTAAGATTTCTAGAGAAAGAGGAAAACACAAGGTTATGAGTCCTTAATCTTATGTTCCTCCATTCAAACTTACTCTTTTTCCTGCTCTTGATAAGCACCTTCAAAATCAGTTCCACCATCCTTAAGTCCTGAAATAACTAACCTAAATATTTCACAAATCTTCTGTTTTTTTTCCTCCACTTTGGGGTTCCTATTTCTAGCTATCTTTCAGAACTTTTACTATTTATGATTCTCAGTGTCACCATAAAGCAAGCAAGGAAAAGAAGTGAGTTTCACAAGTAATTCAGCATAAATTATAAATTGTGTCATTCAGAACAACTTTGCTTTCTGTCCAGAATAAATCTAACCAATGTTCTAAGTTATAGGTAGATATAGATGTAGCTATAGATCTATACATACAGATCTTTATCTTTTCACTAAGACAACATGAATAAATAAGAACTGCTTAATCTCACCTGATGCTTCATGTAATGATTCATGTAGGGGGTTGCCATTTTACTAACTTTGAGGCAAAATGGACATAGCAAGTTCTTAGTGTTTTCATGGGCTGCTCTAAAATGAGCTTCTACATCAGAAAATGTTGATGATCTAAACTGGCAAACCTAGAAATATAAAGAAGGCTTAGTTTAACTTGAAATTTTATAACATCTTGTAATTACATCAAAGTAGCAATAACGGGTCATTTGTTTGGAAGGACATTATGTACTACTAGTCCAGCTCTGCTGCCTATACAATCAAGAATCGTATTACCACAAATAATAAAGATTACCTTTGAAAGACATCTTTCAAAGTTTAGGCATATATTCCAAAACACAGCAAGACTCTCTTGTTTTCAAATCTACCATCCTCTATCTTGTGAATTTTCAAGCTCTGCCAAGTTTTGTTTTAAAAAGCTTTTCCTGCTATATATAAAACTGTATTCTCTTCTTTAGATTTTAAATAGCATCCATACTATGCCAGTGTCAATTTATCTTTATCTCACTTTCTTATTACTGGAAGCCACTTCAAATTCTGCAACACTGATCTCAAAGTGTTTAATTTGATTTTCTATAACTAAGAGATTTTCCCATCTCTCTGGCATATCTATAATCTTCCCTATATGATAACCCACATATTTGTCTTTCTCTAGCAGGGCATTTCCTCATCTAGTGCAGGGGTCAGCAAACTACAACCCACAGACAAAAAAAGCTAGTCCACCCCCTTACATATAATGCATAAGTTAAACCCAAGGGGGTTCCCACTAATGAAGAGGGTCTTCAATTTTAGCATAGTAACTAATTTTATTTAAATGGTTTTAACAAATCAAAAGAATACTATTACATAGCACATGAAAATTAAACAAACACTTAACTACACAATAAAATGTGTACCTGGCAAACATATGGCATTTCACCAGGTTTATGAGTGTCCTTCATATGTTGTAAAAGAATATGCTCTGTTTCAAATGATAATTCACAGATTTTGCAAATAGCTGAAAGTGGGAACAAAAACACATTATACCATTTAAGGATGTATATAAAAAAAGATTCATTCTGTACATCCATAACAACAAGTACTAATAACAGTAGAAGTAACAGTGATGTGGTTCTAACAATTCTATAGCTGTTAACTCTGTAATGCTGTTCCAAGGACATGACTTATATTAGCATATTTAATTCTTACAACATCACCGAAGAAGGTACTGTTATTTTTATTCCCATTCTTCAGATGAGGAACCAGAAGTACAGAAAAATTAAGTAACTTGCTTGAGATCTCACAGCTATAGTAAGAGGCAAAGCTGGAATCTGAACCAAATCTATCCGCTTCTCAGGCTCTAAATCTTAACATTGTAGTTACTTTTTATCTAAAGTGTAAATCAAGACCATTGATTTCAAATTTGAAAACCATGGAATTTGGGTGTTCTAATTTAGTCCTCTACATACAATGCATGCATCATGCCAAGGAAATTTCCACTAATGAATTGTTTATAAGAAGGATTTCAATTTTAACAATTTTTTTTTCTTTTGTTAGAGACAGGGTCTTGGCTATGTTGCCCAGGCTGAAGTGCAGTTGCTATCCACAGCTGTAATTGATCATAGCATTCTACAGTGCTGAACTTGTGGGCTCAAGTAATCCTCCTGCCTCAGCCTTCTCAGTAGCTGGGAGTATAGGCATGCACCATCACTGAGCCTGGCTTTAGCAACACATTTCATCTAAATTTATAAAAGTTGTAATTTTTTTTTTCAATTTTGCCCTCAAATTACAAACTCTAATTCTTATTATTTTTTCCTCTCAGAATTTTTAAGATTTCCTCACAGTTCAGATGATCAATAATATTCAGGACTCCAAAGAAACTTTCACTTACTCGAAAACTCATGGGGAGTGTGTGTACTCTCGATGTGGCACTGCAGTTGGAAGGGTGTGGGATACTGCCGGTAACAGTGCTGGCAGGTGGTGTGGTTTTCCCAGCTTTCATTGTTCTGCTTCTCAAGTTCCAAGTGATGTTTCATGTGGTTCATAAACCTATAAACGATTGCCAACGAGAGCAAAAATTCAGACTTATAACCAAAGAAAAGCCTCGCAAATAAGTCTCTGAACCTAAATTTTTAAAATGTAATTTTATGACGCAACATAACACCTCCAAGGCCTGAAAGCCCTCTAGAAAAGTGTGTACTTTAAATAATTTACTTTCATTAAGTGGCTCAGTAAGGTATTTTTTCATCTGTTTTTAAAATAATCCATTAATATATTAGTATGAAACATCACTAATTTGCTGTAATGTTTTATCATTATTTTAGATTAAAAGGTTTTTTATAGCAAATAAAAATAGCAGGCTTCTTTTCCATATATATAATACTATTTATATTTTAAAATAAAATACTGAAAGGATGGAAACCCTATCACTAAAAGCAGCTACAGTGAAGAGACAAATCTTTGAAAGCTTTGAAATCAGCTGCTCAAAAGACAAACTGCTGGTATATTCTTATTTGTGTCTTGGTTTCTAAATGCATGCAATAGCAATTTTAATGCCTATAATTACGATAACCTTTTGTTTTATCTAATTATATTGGCTTACTGTTAGCACAAACTATTTTTCTTAGCAGGCTGTGCCCTTTGTAGCACTATTTTTCAGTTTTACATTCTGCTATTTTAGCTTCTCTAAAAGGCTTCTGAAGAGAAGGAACTATGATGTTCAATGGCAGGGAGTACAATATAAATGGGCATACCTTTTTCAAAGAGCTTACTAAAGCTTTTTGCTGAATTTCAAAGTTATTCAATTCAAACAACACTTTTAACACTGGGTCAACTATTTACAATTATGAATCACTAAAGAAAATAATCTTGAAATGACGTAATAATGTCATCACCTAGATAGCAATCATTGTGAAGGTTTGGGCATTTATCTCTTTTTCCCACCTCCAAAACTCTCTTTCGTTTTGGTAAATGTCTGCAATGTATTTTAAAATGGAAAAATTTGAGCTTTAAATAAGGTTAGTATGGAGGAGGTCATGCTGCATAGCGGTTCTTCTTATGACATGAAGAAAAGTAAGATTCAAAGTCAGCTAGAAAATCCCAGTTCAGTGATAAGTGTAGGGAAAAAAAGTAATTTCTCCCTAAATCAAAATACATTTTGTCTTTTCTTTTTTCTTTTTTGAGATGGAGTTTCGCTCTTGTTGCTCAGGCTGGAGTGCAATGGCATGATCTCAGCTCACCGCAACCTCTGCCTCCTGGGTTCAGGCAATTCTCCTGCCTCAGCCTCCTGAGTAGCTGGGATTACAAGCACGCGCCACATACCCAGCTAATTTTTTGTATTTTTAGTAGAGATGCGGTTTCACCATGTTGACCAGGATGGTCTCGATCTCTTGACCTCATGATCCACCCGCCTCGGCCTCCTAAAGTGCTGGGATTACAGGCGTGAGCCACCGCGCCCGGCCACGTTTTGTCTTTTCTTAGGCTATCTCAAAACAATACAGCTAGGTGGATCTTGGAGTCAAACTCTTAAAATACAAGAAGGGACAAAAGCTTTTCAACATGATAATCTGCCTCTGTTCTTGGTAGGAAGTATTAGACTTACTTAACAAAGATGGCACAGCAAAGTAAAGATACTATATTCTTATCTGTCATATCCCAACTTTCAAACAGAAATAAAAATAAGCATTTACATACCTAATATTATTTTTAAGAACTTTCGAGCAACTGAAGCATTTAAAGGTTGTGTAAGTCTTTGGCTCTTTCTCAGTGACTCCTTCATGCCTTCCGTAATAAAACTCATTGACTAACATGATCAACTTTCCTGTCTCTGGATCAATTTCATTTTTGTCTTCAGCATATGGACGTTCTGATTTAATGATTGCTCCCAAAAATTTAGTTATCATGTTTGGACAACAATGCTGAAAGAGGAAAAAAATATGAGCCTTGTCTATATCTCTTTTAAGATTAGATACCTAAAAAATGATTGTGTTTACATCTAAGGTCCGATGATATAAAACTATGCTTGGCAATATATCTGGAAAGATATTCACCAAAATTTTGGCTTCCATCTTTATATATTCTAAAAAATTCAAACAATAAACACCTACTATCTTAATAAAGGATTAACTTCAAAAACAAATTGAAAACCTTAAGATCAGGGATGTTTATATATCTATCTAATACATTTTCTTGCAATTTTTCTTTTTAGATGTAAATATTTAATAATAATTTGTTTCGTGGCCAAAAATCACCCATTTCATATCTGTGTCAAGATGCAGCTTACATGCTTATACACTGTTGGTAGGAACGTAAATTAGTTCAGCCCCTGTGGAAATAGTTTGGTGATTTCTCAAAGAACTAAAAATGAAACTACTATTTGACCCAGCAATCTCATTACTGGGTATCTACCCAAAGGAAAATAAATCATTCTACCAAAAAGACACCTACACTTGTATGTTCACTGCAGCACTATTAATAACATCAAATACATGGTATCAACCTAGGTAACCATCAACAGTGGACTGGATAAAGAAAATGTGGTACACATACACTATGGAATACTACACAGCCATAAAAAGGAGTGAAATAGTGTCTTTTGCAGCAACATGGATGCAGCTGGAGGCCATTATTCTAAATGAATTAACCCGGAAACAGACAACCAAATATCCTATGTTCTCACTTACAAGTGGGAGCTAAATAAATATTGGGTACACACATAAAGATGGAATGACAATGAGGTCTCCAAAAATGGGGAGGGAGTGAGGAGGGCAGGGGCTGAAAAAATTCCTATTGGGTACTATGTTCACTGTCTGGGTGACAGGATCAGTAGAAGTCCAAATCTCAGCATCATGCAATCAATATACCCTTGTAATGAATTTGCACATATACCCACAAATCTACAATAATGAAAAAAAAATACCTTAAAAGGTAGTTTTACATGCTTAATTTATGTATAACCTTGATTATCAAATAACACAGGAATATTTAAGTGAGGCCTGGATGGAACTAGACTTTGAGCACAGCTAACCTGTCATTCTCCAGATTTAACATGCTAGAAAATGTGTGGGGCACAAAAAAGAAGCATCAGTTACATTTTGAATATCTCAACATATTCTATCTAGAATGCTTAAATATCTGAAGGGGAAATCTACCTCATGAATGAAATCAAGACATCATATAAACTGATCCTAACGTGGAATACTTTCATACATAAGCCTTTTTTATCCAATGAGATATAATTTATTTATTGTATATACTTCACAGTTGTAGACTTTCTCTGGAAGAATTCTCCAAGAATAACTGGAGAAAAAATAGGAGAAAGTATATCTGAGAAAGGGTTAAAATTGAAAATACATGAGAAACTCCTACAACTCAATAGCAAAAAACCAAATAAACTCATTTAAAAATGGGCACAGGACCCGAATAGACAAAAGACACACGAGTAGCCAACAGGGATGTGCAAAGGTGCTCAACATCACTAACCATTAGGGAAATGCAGACCAAAACTACAATGAGCTATCACCTCATACCTATTAGAACAGCTATACCAAAAAGACAAAAGATAAGTGTTGGTGAGAATGTGGGAAAATGGGAACACTTTTACACTGTTGGTGGGAATGTTATTGGTGCAGTCACTATGGAAAACATGGGAGGTTTCTCAAAAAGTCAAAAATAGAACTATTGTATGATTCAGTAATCCTACTTCTGTGTATACACTCAAAGGAATTGAAATCAAAATCCCAAGACATCTGTACTCCCATGTTGATTGCAACATTATTCATAATAGCCAAGACATGAAAGCAGTCTAAATGTCTATTAATGTACAAATGGATTAGAAGGATGTGGTGTGTGTTGGTGTGTGTGTACAGACACACACACACACATACACACACACATGGAATATTATTCAGCCGTAAAACAGAAGGAAATCCTATCATTTGTACCAACATGGATGGATTTGGAAAACACACAAGGAAAACAAGCCAGTCACAGAAAGACAAATATTACATAATTTCTGTTATATGAGGAATCTAAAATAGTCAAACTCATAGATGTAGAGAGTAGAATTGTGACTGCCAGTGCTAGAGGGAGAGAAAAATGGGAAGGTATTAGTCAAAAGGTACGTAGGTTTAGTTATTCAAGATAAGTCCTAGAGATCTACTATATAGAATAGTGCATAGAGTTAACTATACTGTATTACACACTTAAACAATTTGCTAGAAAGTGTAGATTTTTCTATTGTGTTTGTATCACAAAAAGGTAATAATAAAGAGGGCAGCAGGGAACTTTTGGAGGTGACGGCTATGTTTATGACACAAACTGTGATGGTTTCATGGATGTATACTTAGCTGCAAACTCATTGAGTTGTATGCATTAAATAAATACAGATGTTTACAGGTCAATCATACCTCAATAAAGTTTTTTTTTTTTTTAAAGACTACATACTAAAACAAGTTAGAGTGGAAAACAAAAGAAAAAACTTTCCTAAAATCACAAACTGAAAGACTTTAAAAAAAAGGACAAAGAAAGCATAACAAAACATTGTGACAAAACCAAGACCAATTAAACCTATCAGACCAATAAAATTTCTCCTACCAATGAATATAAAATGTTTAACTCAACTTCTAAAAGAAAATAAGTTTTCATATAGGATTACGAAAGAAAAAACAACTCTGGTGAAAGAAAGGAAGATGATTTGGGAGGGTTGAAAATAAAAGGATAAGCAAAGAATGTAACAGGCAGATGGAAACAAGAAAGCAAGGGTTGTGAGCCTGATATCAAACAAAAAGCACTAAACAGACAAAAAGGACAGTATAAAAATGCTAAAGGGTGCGCTCACAATGTGAGTGAATATATCTGTGTCTTAAAGAGCAACATCACGAACCAGAATTGGAAGATATCAAGGGAATTAGTGGTAATGTGGGGCTTGGGATTCCCCTTTCCCAAACACACTCAAGGAGGTGGAAATGGCGAAAGATCTAATACAGGTTTGCCTCAGAGTAAAGAAATTCGTATTTGGAATTTCAGAGCTCCTTTTTTAATCCCACTTTTTTGTAAAATGCTGAATTTTAATAAAAATCTGTCAATCTTTGAAATAGTGAACAATTCCTTTTCCTAAGTTGCTTCTTTGCTTTGTACTCTTCTCATCACTTCTTTCCCACATATAATCAACACTGACTTTTTTCTTGCCTCCTTTGCCTCTTCCTGTCATTTACAGGGCATGTATTCAGGGCATGCAAGTAGAATACAGACTATCTTTATAAACACATAATACTGTAGTATCTACTAACATATTTTAAGTAGAGTGTTACCTTAATCACATACACAATTGGTACTGTGAAAATTACCTAAAACCTAATTTCAAGAACTTCCTATGTTAATATAAAGCTAGAATTCACTTATAACAACATAAACTATATTATGGATTGAGTTAAAACTATAATTTCAAATGAAATGCTCCATCACTAAGAGCTTATTTCTGAGCACTGAAAATTAAAATGTAAGGACTAACGTTTTCATAGAGTAATGTGACATGCATATATCACCATGGGGAAAAAATAAGGTAAACAAAAGGAGCTTTTACTTTACACAAAAGATTAAGCACCTAATAAAACACCTGCTTTACAAGAAGTATGAAGAACGGCATAATTTAGACAGTAAAATATTCCGATTTATACATTATTTTCATTTAAAATTAAAACGCAGGCTGGTTGCAGTGGCTCACACCTGTAATCCCAGCACTCTGGGAGGCTGAGGCCAGTGGATCACTTGAGGCCAGGAGTTCGAGACCAGCCTGGCCAACATGGCAAAACCCCATCTCCACTAAAAATACAAAAAATGGGCCAGGCATGGTGGCACCACGTGTAATCCCAGCTACTCGGGAGGCTGAGGCAAGAGAATCGCTTGAACTGGAGAGGCAAAGGTTGCAGGGAGCCAAGATTGTGCCAATGCACTCCAGCCTGGGCAACAGAGCAAGAGTCTGTTTCAAATAAATAAATTAATTAAAATGCGATATGCATACACTGTAGTGCATATTAACTTAATTTAAAAATTTAAATTGATACATGTTTATACATGTTTATGGGGAACGTGATATTTTCTTAAGTGCACAGAACATATAATGATCAAATCAGAGTGTCTGAGGTATCCATCACCTGGAGTATTTATCATGTCTCTGCATTGGCAACATTTTAAGTGTTCTCTCCTAGCTATTTTGTACTCTACTCTGCGCCATACATTAGAACTTATTCATTTTATCTGTTTATTTGTACATAATAACCAACCTCTCTTCATGTTCTCCTACCCTTCCACACACACCCTTCCCAGCCTCTGGCAACTATCTGTTCTACTCTTTACCTCTATGAGATCAACTTTTTAGCTCTCACATATGAGCGACAACATGTGATATTTGTCTTTCTATGCTTGGCTTATTTCACTTAACATAATCGCCTCCAGTTCTATCCATAACAAACTTAATTTAAAAAATTTCATCATTGGAAAGGATTTTAAAATCTTTTATTAAAAAACCATTGTGAATATCAATTTTAAGTTACATGGAAATCAATATGAGAAGGTTTCTTATCTAAGTATCTAAATAAACCAGCATTGGCTGTATATCAATTTTTAATATTTTCAAGAATCTATAAACATTTTTAAAAACTGAATTCTGAAAACAGTTTTACCTTCATGTGGTATTTCAAGGGATCCAAAAGATTGAACTGAACATTGCACTTTGGACAAGCTCTTAGGTAATGTGCTTCAGCATCATATGGAGATGAGGTATTTGTGCCTAAAATAAATTAAGGTCTTTTAAGATTCAAATTCATCTTTTTAAAACCTTAAATGACCAATAATAATGGTTTTAAAATTCATTACAATTTCTAAAACGCATGTGTAAGTTATACAATTTTTTATTTACATGCCAGATTTCATACTTGCCTTTTGCTAGCCTAACGTGGGAGGATGTCACTGGAGGAGAGTCAGTTAAAGGCAATGAAGTGGAAGGATTTATTTCAGGAACATCTTCACTGGTCTTTGGTTTTTTTGGAGTAACACTGTTTACTTTAGAAGTAGAAGGACGTTTTAATACATATGAAGCATTTTTCATCCCTACAAAGATTTAAATATTGAGAAAGATATTTGTAAATGTTTCAGTATGGAATATTGCTTATGTAAAACTGCTACTAAAATGGCCTTATATTTTAAATTGAGCAAAAATACTTTGGAACTAAAGGTAATGTAATTTAATTAGCATATCATACAAATGACAAAGAACGATTAAAATTTATATGCGGAAGTAGAAAGAAATTACACAAACAGCTAACTACTATGAACTACATATCTTTACTTCACAAAATAAGCTTTATATAAAGAAAATTCTAAAAACGCTTTCAACTAAAGAAAACATAAACAGGTATCATGAAAAAAGTTAGAACAAAAAATTCCAAGCAAAATAAAAGAAATAAAAGTTATAGCCCAGAGAATACTCTGAGTTAGGTTTCTATACATCAACTTATATTTAGATGCAGGTTTCTATACATCAACTTATATTTAGATGCTTAAATGCATTTGAGTTTGTAAAATATTTAAAAAATTTTTCTAAACATTAAGAGAAACACTTTTAAATGTTTTTTTAAAAAAACTTAAGATGTGTAATGGAAAATTCGAGTTGGTTCTTTTTCTACCTAACAACCCAACAGGTGGTTCAGATTAAATTATCTTGTTTATTCCCTATATACAACTAATCTTGAATGATAATACCTCACTCATTCATGTGAAAAGGTTTAAAGTTAGTATAATGACTTTCAAAGTATGTTCCCCTAAGTCCAATGGGTCTTAGAAAATATAATGGGCATGTCAGATAAAGAAACTCTCCTTTTACATCTTATTAGCTTTCTGCATAAATTTTGTTTGAATAAGAACTCTCTTTAGCAGTGAAATTCTGAGTTTGAGAACCACCATCTTAAAGACCAAAGGATTATGTAATTCAGGGCATTTCCATAACAATGGGGTATTTAGGCTATAACCAGACCCAGCACAAGTGATTTTTGAAAATAATATACAGTTGTACTTTGTGATAAGGGTTCTAAAACGGCACATCGTGTTTTAAAAGCTCACAACTGTACAACAGGAGAAGCAGTAGAGTAGATATATGCCAGGAAAATAAGAGTATTACATTAGTGGGTTCCTCTGTTAAATCTGTGTTTCATTCTTTGAGATAAAATAGAAGTAATTTTTTCTTTAAACACAAATGATTTTTTCCATCCTCAAAGAACATGACTACTGTCAGCTATACTGAAGGCACCTAACAGTAATTTTTGTGTCATCACTTTAACATTTTTCTGAGACGCTTAGGTTACTTAAGGAACCAATGAGTGCGCTAGTACTCTGGACTAGGTAACTGATTATATAATCAGCTGGATAATAAAAATAGACTGTTTTAATATATACTTACGTTAAGCATGATAAATCTAAGTTAAATAAAATCAACCTGAGCTCAATAGTTTTAAATTCTGACCCTTTAGCTTATTTAATTCAGTTGTGTTTTGCTCATGCTGTTCCCTACCTTGACTATTGTCTGTGCTGATAAAAACCCTATTTTCATTCTTGAAAATCAAGTTCAAATCCAACTTTCCCTAAGAACTTTCCATGATCATCTTAGACAGAAGTCCATTAATCATGCTTCTGAACATACAGCACATATTACCATTCATGATTATCATTCTAACAACTGTTTATTGTCAAGTCCTTTAAAACTGATAATGCGTTTTTCACTTTTCACTTATCTTATTTGGGCCTCAAAAAAGCCCTGAGATAAACAGAGCAAGAATTAAAATTTAATATCCAATGGCTCATTTCAGGTCTGGAGAATAAATGCTTTATGTGAGTAAAATGAAAATATCTATTTTAATAATGTGACAAAATTGAGGTATCAAGAGGTTAGATGACTTGATAAAGGCCACAGAAATGTCTAGAAAAAAGGCTTAAACCTGTATCTTCCCAATCAACTACAACCCTATTTACTACTCAGGACAAAGTTCCACTCTCTTCTGTATTAATCTTAGAGAGAGAGGAGGAGTCACTGTCTTTACCCTTTAGAAGTTTCAAGAATTCACACTTTTTTTATGAATAAAGATCATGTGCCTTGCAAAACCCGAGTTAAAACAACTATTTTATCTCTCTGTTTATTTTGGTTCTTGGCTATTTTACTAACTAGATAAGTGACACTTAGAAAGGTGAATATCAAATCAAGTAATATCAAAATGGGAAAATATTTTTGGCACTCCTATTACTATAATTCTTTTGTTTTGGTCTGGTAAAGGTTATATACTAATTTATGAGTAAATAATTAAATATTGAAAAAATCATTGTGTCCCTCTTTCCCTTCAGTGAAATATATCAAACTAGCTAATACAAAGAACAGTAATTGCTTTGATTATAGGAAATTTTCAACAATACAAAATTCCTTTACTGGCAGTACTAACCTATTTTAGGTTAATAAAGAACTTTAAGGTAGACATCAAAGAACTGTAACACTTCAACTAGAAAATTTCCACTATTACTTCAATGTATATTTGCTGAATACTTACCATGTAGAAATCACTATTTCTTTATTCTTTCATTTTATAATACTACTCTGTAATCATATTTAACTATCGTATCTACATCATTTATTTGAATAGAAAGACATTAGGCTATTGAGAATAAACTATAACCATGCACCTTTTCTCATACTAAGTGTCTTCCAAATAATTAATACTTGTTTTCAGAGTATTTAAGGCATCAGGGGTCTTCCTTGACTCACAGAAATTATATTTTTTCAGTCTATGGCTGGTTCCAAGTGAGAAAGAGTGAAAAGAATATATGCTAGCCAACTTAACAGAAAGATATAAAATATTCTATTACTAAATACAATTTTATGTGAAAGGCATTCAGGAATCATTAGCTCTATTCCATGTTATAATATATGAAAAACTTAACATGAAGGTATAGGCTTTAAAACAGAAATTTAATTCTATATGTATATTCACCAAGTCTCTTTTTATAATTTTTATGAAAAAGTGCTAAACCAAACCTTCTCTAAAAATTGCTGGTATGTCTTGGGATGGTGGAAGTGATTCCTGGGTCGAGTCAAACAGTAAGACTGAAGAATTATCCGATTCAACTTGTGAATTCTTTGTAAAATCCTGTAAAAAGTTATAATTATTTTGTTTCATAAACTTATACAGAGGTAAATTTAAAGGTATGTCAATACTATAAAGAATCTTAATAACCCAATTACTAATATGGTATGAAACACAAAGGTAATTATTAGCTTCTGCCAAAATTAGCATCTACTGGGTGAAGGATATATGGGAATTATGCATTATTTTTCTAATTTTTCTGTAAATCTAAAACTAGTTTGAAATAAAACACTAAAATTTAAAAATAATATTATTGGCAAAGTAGAGGTTATATTTTGAATCAACTTTTCTGCAAGGAAATTTTAGCAGTATCTATCAAGGGCTTTAAAATGTTCATATTCTTTGGTCCAATTATTCCAGTTACTCTAAGAATCTATGCTAAAGAAATGAAATGTTTAATGATGATTTATAATAGCAAAAACTGAAAACCTATATGCCTAATAAATGACTAAATGATACTATCATATAACATTTTTTGAGAAATATCCAATGACAAAGTACAATGTTCCGTGAAAAATGAGGAACAGACATGAAATATGTATTAATATGGTCCTGATTGATATACTCTAATGTCACCCTAACCATATAAAAAAACAAAAATCAAAATACAGTATGTATTCTTCCCTGTCTCTTTTCTAACCTGCCCCTCCTTACGTATTACTTTTATAATGAGGATATAAAGATTTTGCTTGCTTGTTTTGTGCTTACAATTTGAGATGATTAGGTTTTAGACTACGACTTAATTGTAACCAAGCACAATCGTACCACAAAGTAAATATTTTCTCTAAATATTTGCCCTTAAAAGTGGAAAATATCCATTTGCAATATCCAAAAATACTTAACAGAAGTTCCTCTGAATAAAGGTAGCACTTCCTCTGAATAAACATAGCACTTTCAACCTTTTCTGAGGTTACGTCTCTGATAAATTAAGTACCACAATTTCAGAAAGCAGACACATTATTCAACAAATAACCTGTTAAATAATTCTCCAGTTGGGAATTTCTTATGTCTCATAAAATAGTTCAGAAAGATAACAACTATAACAGTAAGGTAGACTAGGCAATAGGCTGAGATTCAGAAGACCTGTCCATTTATTTAACTATGTAACCTTGAGCAAGTTACTTCTGAGCTTCAAGTTATTTACCTTTCCAACTGAAGTAACAGCCACCAATAATTACGTATTTAAAACGTACTTGCCTCTTTCACAGCACGTGTATTATATTAAGTAGTTGTCATAACAGTACTAATAAAGACCTAATATTATCTCACATTTTATACATGGGTAAACTAAAATTTCTTGTAGTTAAGGTTTCCAGTACAACCCAGCCTGTTATTGATGATAGAGCTGGAATCAGAACTAAGGTCTGCCTGATTACAAAGCCTGTGTCCTTAAGCTATATCAAACAGACTTTAAAAGAGACAATAATACTCTCCTTCCCTGCCTGAAAGAGTTGAGATAGAGAGAATGGAATAGATTTAAATTTTTAAATAAAATTTCCTTATGTAGGCTTCTCAATTCATTCGAGAATATTTGTCCATCATTTTGAACCCTGGTTGCACATTACAATCACCTGGAGTTTTACAATGTCAACACAGTGAAAAGTGCAAATGTTTATGACAGTAGTTTTAACCTCACAGACCCCTGAAAGAGACTTAGGGAATCTTAAGGGTCTGTGGACCACACCACTACTCTAAGGCAGTGCTTCCATTTAAAAAGTACATACTTAATGGGGCTGTGTGCAGTGGCTCACGCCTGTAATCCCAACACTTTGGGAGGCTGAGGCGGAGGACAGCTTGGGGTCAGGAGTTTAAAACATAGTGAGATCCCCCCATCTTTAAAAAATTTAAAAGCCAAATTTGCTGGACATCTGATGGTGTGTGCCTGTAGTCCCAGCTACTTGGGAAGCTGACGTGGAAGGATCGTTTGAGCCCAGGAGTTGGAGGCTGCAGTGAGCTATGAGCATGCTACTGCATTCCAGACTGGGTGACAGAGCAAAAGCCTGTCTCTAAATAAGTAAATAAAAGTATATGCTTAAATGTATAAATGGATGTGTGTATACGTATATTTTTAAAACTCTGGGTTAACCTGGATTGAAATCCCAGATCCATCATTTACCAGCTGTGTATCCTTGAGTGAATCATTTATCCTCTCTGAGCCTCAGTTTCCTCAACTATAAAATGGGAATAATAATAATGCCTACCTCGGCCAGGCGCAGTGGCTTGCGCCTATAATCCTGCACTTTGGGAGGCCAAGGCAGGTGGATCACTTGAAGTCAGGAGTTCGAGATCAGCCTGGCCACCATGCCGAAACCCTGTCTCTACTAAAAATACAAAAATTACCTGGGTGTGGTGGTACATGCCTGTAATCCCAGCTACTCGGGTGGCTAAGGTAGGACAATCACTTGAACCTGGGAGGCAGAGGTTGCAGTGAGCTGAGATCGTGCCACTGCACTCCCGCCTGGGGAGACAGAGCAAGCAAGATTCCATCTCCAAAAAAAAAAAAAAGGTGCTTACCTCATAAAGGTCTCATAAGAATTAAACACGATTAACTTATATCTAGCATTTAGCACAAAGACGTGTACATAATAACAGCCCAGTAAATGTTAAGTATTACCATTATCTATTACTTTTACTGGAAGTTTTTAAAGCTAACCTATGAAAGTATATTTTCAGAATAAGCAGCAATAATGACTTCAGAGCACTCGTTCCAATTTAAGAATACCTGTTTCAGTTTATTAACTTAAAAATGTTCACTACTGAGCATACTTTTTTTAATTTTTGTTTTTTGAGACAGAGTCTCACTCTTGTCACTCAGGCTGGAGTGCAGTGGTGCGATCTTGGCTCACTGTAACCTCTGCCACCCAGGTTCAAGCGATTCTCCTGCCTCAGCATCCCAAGTAGCTGGGACTCCAGGTGCATGCCACCATGCCTGGCTAATTTTTTTGTATTTTTAGTAGAGACAGGGTTTTGCCATGTTGGCCAGACTGGTCTTGAACTACCGTGCTCAAGCAATCCACCTGCCTCAGCCTCCCAAAGTCCTGGGATTACTGGAGTAAGCCACTATGTCCAGCCTGATCATACTTTTTAACTCATATTTATATAGTACAGTTTTCAATATTGTATCTATTTAAGCATATTAGCTAGTTTATTAATACATTAGATAATTCCTGCAGTTAGTATTTTGGGTTTTGGTTGAGCTATATCATAAAGGTGGGGATTATTTTTCTACTGAAATGGTAACTAACTATGATAGTTCACAATTTTGGGGTTTGTGTTGGCTTTTGTTTTTTTTTTCTTGAATCAGGATCTCACCCTGTCACGCAGGCTGGAATGCAGTGGTAGGATCTTGGCTCACTGCAGCCCTGACCTCCAGGGCTCAAGCAATCCTCCCATCTCAGCCTCCTGAGTAGCTGGGACTACAGGTAGTACAACACTATGCCCAGCTTATTTTTTGTATTTTTGTAGAGATGTGGTCTTGCCATGTTGCCCAGGCTGGTCTCGAACTCCTGGGTTCAAGTGATCTGCCTGCCCTGGCCTCCCAAAGTGCCAACAATAACAGGCGTGAGCCACTGTGCCTGGCTGATAGATCACAATTTTAACTCAGTAATATAACAGCCAATGTGTCCCTGAGTTAATTGTTTAATTTTATAAACACTTACAGGTTTAGACTCATTCTCAACAGTAACAGAGCTTTGTGAAGATTCAGATTCAGGATGAAATCTAGGCAAGGCTGCCACTGCATTTGATGATGGGTCTCTGTAGCGTTGACTTGCAGTCCTGAATATTTCAGGAATACCTGTATTTTAAAATTATACAATATATTGAATATATTTCTATACAACCAATTGTGTCAAAATATTTCACTTTAAAATTGAAATACTATAGTAATACTGTACCTGGACTGACTGGCTCACTCTTTATTCTTTTGGAAGATGAGCTGGAGTGGCCTCTGTTCAAAATATCTATAAAATTATATTTAAAGTTTGTTATGTGAATGAAATATATACTAATAGAAAAATCCCTCCAAAATATCTCTTTATATAACCTATAATTGAAGTATATTTCTTTCCATTAATGATGACAGGGTTGTGTACAGATTCAGATCCCCGTGACTTGAAATTGAACCCTTCCCCAACACTGTGCCACGTTCACACCTCTAAAAATCTGGAAGTTTCATGATGGGAGGGCTGACTGGATTATCTTTATCTTTTTGCACCATTACACTTGAGTTCTGAATAGGAAATTAACAGAGACTACAGACTAAATTGAACCTGGAGTTCCAGAGTAGCTGATTAATTAATGTAAGGGGTTTCAAATCTATTACTACATCAGAAGTCAGTTTGAGCCTCACAAAACCCTCTGGATCAGTTTAAGATTGCACACCCATGTACCCATATGAAACTCCGTAACTTCTAGGTTACTGAGGAGTCAAATTGAAATTTGGAAGAATAGTGATTTGCCTAAAATTGCTTAACAGGAAAAGGTACAAAGCATTAACAAACCCATAAAACCTCAACATTTTTCCTTTTTTCTCTCCTAGTAGAAAAGAATCAGATCCCATAAAACATTTCTATTAAGTGAAGGGTCACACAAAAGTAGAGTTGTTTTCTGATCACAGACATGCAGTAGTCTATGAGTAAACATTACAAAAGTCTTCTAGAAGAAAAATCTCCTCAAACAACTTGATAATGTTTTAATTCAGAAATTCAAGATACGTATTACTCAATCCACTCACTAAGAGTTATTTCTACCTTTTGGTGGTTATAGTCTACTAAACACAAGTTTTTTCTCCTCCTCCTCTGCCTTCATGGTAGTTCTACATAAACATTTAGATGATATTCCATATGCTAAAATATTTTATGGCTTATACATAAAACATCAATAAAATCACTTAAATTTTGAGTTATCAATATAGAAAAATTCTAGTGGGGTCAATACCCTTTTTGATACAATCTCTTAAAACTAATACATGTTGTTTTGGTTGAGTGCTGTTAACAGTCATCTATAATCAATATAAATCCAACTTGAATCTTAATTGTCATGTTTCAATAAAATGGTTTGAGTAATAATTTTGAAATGTATTATTTCAGCATAAAAATTTTCACAGTGACTAGAAATAACAGAATATCCTATTCTACTATCAACAATAAATATGCCAAATGTATTTAGTTCATTTAATAACTTAAGTGGCTCTCCCCTTAGAACCTCCCAATTTACCACAGGAAATGATATTGAGAATTCAATTGGCTAAATTATTCTGCCTCTGATAAAACTGAGTAGAAATGCTATTCCAAGTTTAGAGTCAACAGAAGAACTAGGCTTTCAGAAAATGTAAAACTCATCTCCGAACCACACTATTAGTCACTGCCATGCTAAGTAAGAAAACTGGTAATGCTGGCTACATTCCTTGACTTCTCCAGGCCTAAAACAAGTAAACAAAATGCAAAAGGATCTGCTTCCTCTACTCTCCTGAAATTCAGTTATGCTGGTTTTCCCTTGCCCTTTATACACTTTTGAGGACTTTTTTTTTTTTTT